CTACGACAAAAATGCAGGAATTACTGTATTTCAAGATTCAAATAAACTAAGCAGCTCATCTATCACAGTAAACCAGAGACTAGCAATTTCTTGCAGATGCAGGAATTCATACAGACACCCCTGAATAGTATACCAAAAGCATACTGGACAGTTTATTCAAACATAACAGATATATCAACACTGAACAAACTCGTATTTCATAACGGCAGCTGATTTCATGCAAGTATTGCTAATTAGCAGCCCTACCATTTTCCAATTATAGTTGAGATCTTTGCCACTACTTCAAAAATGTATTCACAAATATTTTTCCATTATTGATGACTTTTTGAATCATTTTAGGGTCTCTTCTTGGGTAAGTTTATCTTGGCTGAGCTGTTAAGGTAACTGCAGGAGTAGTTGAGGAACATAGCCACACTGTGCAGTCAGACAAAAATCCACTGTCTGAACACTTTTACCAAGTGGCTCCTCTGCCAAGGAGCTTGCCAGCCCTCTGCCTGCCACGGACACTCTAGCAGTAGAAGGAGGAAGATAAACATAGGGAAAGTGCATATATATTAACTGTGAAAGCAGTGCCTAGCAACCAGACAACAGCATGTAGTCTCAAATTCCAAACTCTCCTTCCACTTAGGTCTCTAATATTTTGCCCTACCTGAAGATGAAAAACTGGCATAAGCAGCATGTAAAATTATTTTTACTTGTTATAAACACTGAAAGAAAGATTCCCCATTATTAAAACAAAACAGAAATTTAATTTCTTGGTTTGTTAGAAGGAAGAGACAGGCTGCTGACTACTTCAGATAAAAACAGTAGTTAAAAGAAATTTTCCTTTAGTGGCAGAGCTAGCTGCAGTAAATCTTTGATACAGATCTGAAGTGTTAAATGATAGCCTACCCTGCAAAGGTATGCTCTTGCATAGACTGCAACCAGTGGATCTCCAATTCCTCTAATCATAGACGTTAACCGTGGGAGACATTCCGAAATCCCCCTGTCAAGATTTTTCAGAAATGGAAATGAGATTTAACAATCGATAACAGAATTATATCACCTACAGATAACTTCAGTAGCTGCCTTGTAGATTGACAATTGAGCATGGGTTATAGAAACACCTACCAAATAAGAAACACACTAGCACAAAATTTTATTTCAGAAGTAAAATTTTATGTGTATAGTAACACATATCCTATATTCAAATTGCGGTATCTGCCATTAGGAGTAGTGCAGATAGCCAGGTTGGATGCTTGGCTTGTAAAAGACAAGCACAACTAAAAAAAAACTCTTCTAGTCTGGAGGAACAGCAGAGCTCTAGAAGGGCTGTAATTCAATGTGAAGAAAGCATCTGCTTAAAGCAGAACCGGCAAAACTGCTTGTATGTGTCATTTTCCCACAGGTCCTTTTTGACAGAGCTGTACTAGTGCCTGGAGATGAAGCCCATCAATTCCAGTAAAAGAACTGCTTTTTAGGGATAATGAAGTTGTCACTATAGTAGCAATTTGGCTTACAACACTCATTTCAAAATATAACTCAAAAAGGATGATTACATGTGAAGGAACATTTTCAGCTCAGCAACTGACACTGTTTGGCAACATATGAAGCTTATACCAAGATTTTCAATAGATAATGGTTCATTGCTCCTAAATTGTTTCCCCAACTCCGTCTCTAGCAATACAACACATCAATATTTTCCTTTCAGTCTTCTATCCCCTCTTTTTGCCACACTCCTCATCTCAACAATCTTGCTTCCCCCGCCACCATCTGAAGCCACTGGTTTTTAATTTGCAAACTCCTGATGTCACAATTATACATATATTCCAAAACTGCAAGCACTACTGCATTCCAAATTGTACCAGAGTTCAGTTCACCCTGAATTTATTCCATGGCAGTCTCACTAAAAACTCCAAAACCTCTCAGTACTGCTTCTTCTCAGATCTATTGAGACCCTATCCACCATTAATCACAGAACTTGCGTGTTTAACTCCTTAAATTAGTTTATAAGCCTGCCCATTCGCTTCTTTCCCACACTTAACATTTACTCTTACGTTTTGGATAAGAACTTATTGCACTTCAGTATTGCTGCTTCCACGTAACTAAAATGAAGCCAAGTTAAGGAACAAAACTAAGATGCATGCCATTTAAAAACATGAAAACAAACTTATATACCGAATACATATTGGACGAACTATTTCAAGGCCTTCTGTAATTAATTTCACTACACTTCTTTCATTTTTACGATTTATCTACAAGATTTTGTTTCCAAAGTTTTCACACATCAACTCTGCTTTATCACTGCCACACTGCTCATAGCAAATAATTCAGCATTCAGTTTACTATGAAACATGACCCAAAATTTAATTCAAAACATACAGCCTGAAACAAACAAAACAAAGTCAGTATAAACATCAGATTGCTGTGGGTTTTACTGAAACAAACACGTTCATTTTTGGAAAAGTCTATGAAAAACCTGCAGACACACTCTGAGAGTCTCATTTGACAAGGATACAATCTGGGAATGAGTTCTCTGATTGAAGCAATCTTGAAAAACCAGTTTAAGCAAGTTTCTTTAGCCGTATCATTAACACTCTCTGGAGAAAAATTATCTGGGGAAAAAAACAACCACGCAGAAATAGTTACGTTCTCTCTGGAAACAAGTCACTTTTCATTCTAGGTTCAAAATTGTATTCTCTTTCCTTTCAATAAGGAATTAGGCATACCATAATAAACTAGGCAATATGTTTGATTCTCATCTCTCTCTTGCAGCAGTAAGAGCTGAGTAACAGACAGCAGGAAGAGGTAACTAGAGTTTCCATCTTGCATTAAGTAACATTTCAGAAGTTGAAGTCAAACACGCAAAGCTAATCTCAGATCCGCTACTTAGAAATCTAACCTCTGCTTCTGCACAAAAGCAGAAATTGTAAAAAAAAAAAATACAAGGAATCTGTAACAAATATATGTATATAAATCTCTAACAAATGCATACATATAGAATAGATTTAAGCACTCAAATTCTTTACTTTAAAAGGCTAATACAATTTTTAAAGAATATTATTTAAAACTATATTGCAAGAAGTAGGAAATATTAAACACTGACAGAACACTTGTTTTTGTACGCTAAACATCTAACACTGCAGCACGGTTCTCTCCTCATGAGCTCTGGTACTATTTGTGTCAGCTGCCAGCAGGAAAAAGCTGCCACCCTGGGGTGGAACAGATGGGTTATGGGGACAGTGCTCTGGTCAGGTGGGCATGCAGTTGCATGGCTAACTGCCTCCTCTTTCTCCAGATTGCCTGGAACAGAAGGCAAAAATGGGCTTCTTGGGATCTAACCAGGTCTGAGGCAAGATGGTTGCGAAGGATGAGTCCCTCTTCTCTCAGTCATACAGCTACACAAGCAGCTTCTGCTGTGAACGTCTGCTTATAAACTCCTTGTGAAACTTTTTTAAAATACCAGTGCTCTCCCATCCCTGCCCCCAGAAGGTGAGAAGCTCCTGTTCCACAAGAAAGTTTCCCACTTCCAAGAGTAGAGAAGCCACACGCTAGATGCTGACTGAGTACAGGAAGATGTTCTTTCTCATCTAGTACCACAGCAGTTCTCGTCCAACTTTGTTTCGCCTGGTTCCCATGGGATGAGCATGGAGGTTGGGCCTGAAATCCCTGGGGGTTCACACTGCCATGCACAGCAAGCACAGCACAGATTTTCCTTCTCCCTCCCGATTTTATAACTGCTTGGGAAGTTCCTACCAGCAATGCCCCTGGCAGCTGTGTAGCTGCAGCATGAGTTCAGCTTTCCAGAACGGAGGTAACTGTGCCCAGTAATCGTGACATGCTATGGGAACTGTCTGCCTTTATTAACATTTATAAGAACAGTTTATCAGAGCTGCAACAACCAAATTTATTTTAAGTATTTTCCGTAAGTTTATTTTAAATTTAAATATTTGCTGGTGTCAGGCTTCTGGCTCAAATCCTATGAATTTAACTGTAACCTAATGGTACTGTTGCATTGCCAACAACAGAGTAAGAATGTGTCGTATTTCAATGACACGCACTTAATACACTCTGAATTGCAAGGAAAAGTCCGTATTTCAATGTAACATTTCGGTGCCTTCCTAAAGAAGTACTTCCATATACGTTTGTACCATAAATGTCAAATTAAACTTTTACATTCTGTTAGAACTTCAACTGAAAAAATGAAAAGGCCCCAAGTTAGAAAGATCATACTGGCAGCCTGCTCGCTCCTTCTTCCAAAAGTCTTCTTTAATTAAAGCAAAACTATCAACAGTTTCCAATGTAGCAACAAGACCATCTATTTACCAAAAACTGAGATTCTCAGCTTTGTCTGTATATTCTTCACAGTTAAAATGTGAACTTGCATAAAGACTGTGAATGGTGAAAGCTATAAGCAATGGATTTTACTGTTAAAAACTAAAAATTACTAGATTCAAATCAGAACTTTTTTCATAAGAAATAAAGTAGCATGGGTCCTATTTAACCATTCCCAAATTAGTTCAGACATGATTTTTTCCAGGAGCACAGTAGAAACAAACAGAAAGTTACCTGGCAAAGAGACACGATTGTCCACGCACATTGACAGAATTCTTTCATACACTAGTTTCCCTGTTTAAAAAAAAACAACAAAAAAGCCCCCATTCATAACAAGCTAACGAACTGTAAAACAAAACATTAACACAAAGGTTCCCTCTCCAACATACATTGAAATTAGCTGGAAAAAACTTCCTAGAACACTAACATTATGCTGCCCTCTAGTGAGGCTGAAATGTTAAGTCTGAATTTAGCACTTCGCACACCATAAAAAATTTATCTGGCTCCCTTAAGTGCAGAGGTAGCTCACAGGTCAGATTTCTCCCAGGCCAGGAAAGGACAGCTGGTGTCCTGTCTTTGCTGAGTTTGGATATTATGTTATCTTCAGCAACTTTCAGTAAGTAGGAAAGAGCACAAAGAGGAAGCAAGACCTGAAAAAACAACTGGATCTGTGTCATAGCATATCCTGCTAAACATCAAAATACCCTTCAACTTTGAATGCCGTTGTAAATTTTTTCCATAGCATGGCAGAAAACCAAGAGAATCACATGAAGTGGGTGACAATTTCACTTAAAGGATCATTTAAAAATGATAAAAATAGATTAAAAAATTCAGTAATTACATTTTGATCACTTCATAGTCCCTACTCAGCTAAAGAAAACTTTCTGACTTCTATTCTTCAAATATAGATAGAATGAAATATTGAGTCAAGAGGCTGCCAAAACAAAATATTTTCATAATAACAAGTGTGTTTTAAATTTTAAAATGCAGAGATCATGATTTTTCCCAAGGTTTTGTTCTAGATATTCACTAATACATAAAGCATAGAACTACAAAATAAAATATTTTTATTTTAAAGACTTCACTCATAAGAGTTTTTGAACAATTATATACCACGTTTATACCACTGGTGTCCAAATGTTTATGTTGGAAATATTCCATGTTAAACCTGAGTCATTTCAACACTTTTCCGATAACTTTAATGTTTTCTAACATTACAAAAAATTAATTTCATCTTATTAACAATTGTGTAGTAAGTCTGGCACATTAGATACTTACCAAAAGTATCAAGAATATCTGTAATTAAAACAAATTTACTTGGATAAAACTGGATTACTGTTGTGTCTGAAAGAAGCTTAGAACACTAGAAGAAAAAAAAACAAACAAACATTTTTAGAGGACAATGCAAGTTTGTGTTTTCACTCCAGACAGGCTGGAACAGATGAGTATCTACAGATGGAAAGAACCAACATGAACTATCCAGCAAAAAGCACAAGAACCTCTAACATAACACATCACGGTACTCTTTGTATTTTTCAGGTTATTCTTCATTTCCAGCAGAGCTAGTCAACAGATCTGTTTTTCCTCTATACAAGGTAATCTACAATGAAGAATTTCAGCTGACCATGCAGATCTGTGCATTTGTTCAGACAAGATAAATTCTCTCCCAGAAGAAGCATAAAAAGGCACTTCTTTTCTAAAACAACTTTTTTTAAGGGCATTTTTCAGTTTCTCAGCATGTTTCTAAGCATCCATATCAAACACAAAATTTGATATAGACTAAATTAAGAAACAATTTTAAAAGTTTAGCTAATGAGCTTTTCAACACATCTTTGCGGCTCACATAACCAGTTCCAACATTTTGGAAACAGGTCAGCTGATCTACAGTCAGCTCCAGGGAGGAATCTGTGATCAATCACCACCCACAGGCACCCGACGTGATCGTGGCAGTTGGACTATAATGATGGCTGGTACAAAGTCACGTTTGAAAACATATTAGGTGACTTAGTCCTAGTATTGTTGAATGTTAAGTCCAGGTAGGAACATGTCCATTTATGATATGAATTCAAAATACACACTGAGGAATGAAGATATTTTTAAGATATTTAATTAAGCTATACTTTGTTTTCCAAGACACAGACTAAATCGGAGTCAAAAACTTTGGCAGAAGTTTATTCACAGAAAATCAACTTCCTGAAGTTGATTCAACTTCAAATCAACTTCCACCTGAAGAAAACAGGCAAATGACTGACTGGGGAGAGAAATCCACCTCCTCCCTACTTGAGCCAAATGTGGCCTTTGACCACGAGCCTTCTCTGGTCTCTATTTATGACTGACAAGTACAGTATTCTCTGTGATCTCCGTTCCTTCTCTCTCCTTCATCAGGAGACAATTCTTCAACCTCAATGGAATAAATAAAGTTCAAGTTTTCACTGCATTCCAAAAATCCAGGAAGCAATCCGATACCCCACAAGACCGCTTTGTTTAAACAAGAAAATCATAACATTTGAACATGCTTAAATGAGGGGCACACTTAGTCTTTTTGCTTTATTCATCAGGGAGGAACTTAAGAGTGCACCAGAAAGACAGGTGAGAGCATTCACATCTTACAAACAAAGCAGAATCTTCCCTACTGCATGATAAGTCGGTCACCTTCAAAGAAAGGTAATTCAGTAGCTGTTTAGGACCTACACATACCATGAACACTTAATTACCACTTTTCTTAGAGCTCACATACATAATCAACTTACTTCAGCTTACTCTAAGTAGCTTAGCTTATTCCATCTTGACAAGTAAAGCATCTTGTAAAAAGGCACTTGAGGAATTCATGTTATAAATTCAGACCCTGCCTTAATAACCAGAACTCTTCCTGCACGTCAAGCTCTGTAAAACTCTCATACAGAGAATGAAGGCTCCATCCCCAATGTCCAAATGAAAGATCTTTTGTAATTTCATCATTAGTTCTTAAATCAAGATAATTCTGGAATTCAAATTAAAATTGAATTTTCCAGCCCAGTATACATTTCTGAAAGTAACAACCAAAAAAAAAGGCCAAACTTACTCTTCCTATTGCACACTAATCAGTATGTGATACTAATAAAGATAGACTACATATATAATCACAGCCTGACGTCAAGAAAACTGCTTAGTTCTTTAAGAGGATACAACATCCTTAAAATTCTGTTATCTACTAGGAAGAACTACTACAAGGAAAGCTCAGTCAGGTTTCTACCCTATCCTGCTTCGTAAGTATAGAATTATTCTTAGTCACTTATAGTCTCCTTTATGAAAGATTCTTGTATTCATGATAATTACCCAAACATCTGTTTCATTCTTACCCAGTCTTTCAATTAATGATAAGCATCTGCAGCACGAAGTTCAAGTGCAAAGTGAACAATTCACAGACAACACTTTAAGAGAGATAAACATATGCAGTTTTGATACCGCTTTCCTAAAAGAAAGCACTGCATCCCATCTTAGAAACTACATCATTTCAAAATCTTTTTTGGAACCATTTGTAGAAGAATACATGAAAGTATTAATGCATAGATTATCACTGCATGTCAGACACAGCATATATACATATTAATGCACTGTAAATACAGTACATCCATGTCCCTTTTCTCCTCCTCCAGACTTTTAATATTGTATTCTCTTTCACTAAGATATTCGTGCTTCACAATGCTATATATGGATCTTTTTTTAAGGAATAATAGTGCTGATTTCACAGTATTACAAGAGAACATTAGTCACCCTAGGTCACATACAATTTTCTGATCTCCCTTCATTTATGTTTAATTTCCTTTATTGTCTTTACCACAATTTAAGATGAAATTACTGCAAACAGTTTTCACAAGAGTAGCCAGCATGAGAAAAAAAAATCCTGACTTTATATAACCCTGTTTGATGACTATTAGCATCACATCAGTTTTACAGCTTTGAAGGATGTCATTATCTCCTCTGTCCTCTGATGCACTCTGCCTCTGGCCTTTTTTTAAAGGCCAAGCCAAACAAAAGAGTATTTAATTGTCCTATTCCCCGCTGCCTCCCTCACAGCCCATCACCCCAAACAAGCCAGAGGAAGACTGTGGAGAAGTTTAAAAAAAGCAAAACAAAAACCCCCAAACACTTAAAAAATCTGGAGTTATTTTCTGTACTTTGCTAGGGTCCTAAATTAGATTATTCAGTTGCCTTAGTAAGTCTGGATGGGGAAAACAATGACATTCAAAAAGCCATTCTGGTATTATTGGAGGGTGGGGCGGGCAAGGGGGTAGAAGAGGAAGAGAAGAGGAGAGGAAAGGAAATTACATGTCCTAGGAAGAGCTGATATCACTACATATTATTTTTTCTAATTATCCCTAACCAAGTAAAATTTCCACATCTGTCATTTGGCCACTCTCTTTAATGAGAATTCCATCCTGCATACCCTAGTCAAAATCTATATATAACAACAAAGTTGAAAATCTGAAAGAAATGGTTTTCAGTGAAGAACAGAAGAAAATAGTAGAAAAATACCAGAAACACTTCTTTCCCCAAGAAAGAAATCGGACAAGCCATACCACTAAACTCACCAGTTCTGTACAGAGCAAAAATGTAAAACTGACCTGGATGACTATTTTCAGAGCTTTTACTTTCTGATCAGAGGACCAAGCATCCTTCAAAGACTGGTTCAGTTCTTCAATTCGGTTCATGTAATCCTGCTGAGTCAAATTCAGCAGCTCTTTCTGTGACCCCTGGCAAGAAAACACAAGTCTACTTAACAAGAGAGGGAGGGAAGGAAGGAGAGTGCCATTATTACACAGTCAAATCACCAGGGGGAAACCCACAAAACTTATTACAGAATTACCTAATTTTCCCTTCTTATCTTTGCAGCATCAATATTGCAGGTGTTTGGCACAGGAGTGCATCACAACTGCTTTGGTTTTCAAGAGACATACATGCTGGTACCCAAAGTTGTCCATGAGATCAGAAATGCCGGACTATTTCAGTGGTATTCTACACGTGGTATAATTAGGACACTAACACTATACATAAGCATACTAGCGCCTGTGTAGAGGCAGTATCAGACAGAAATGAAATGTTTTGCCAGCAAAGTCCTACAAAATTTGTTGACAGCAAGAAAAATCTGGCTATGCTTCACTCTCAGCAAGAAAATAAAACTACCTTCACTTCATGCTCAGTACTGGAGCATTCTTGTGATCTTTTTTCCAGAAGATCTTACAGACCTTCTAAAAACACTACATATCAAAAGTAAACTAGTGAAACACTGGAAGCAGAAATAATTGTTTAAGCTTTAGAACCAAACTGACACAGGAATAAAGTGACTATAAATGCATTTTGAAAAATCAGAAGGTAGTTCTGGAACAGTCTTCAGTAGACGTATGAGTGACATTAAAAACTACCTTCAGGACTAGTTCTGATGAGTTTAAGCTGCATTACAGAACAGATTTCATAATCTGAGAATCTAGAAACAACCATCAGCAAAAACAATCACAGATTAAGAGATAAAATGCAAACGCAATTAGCTTCACACAAGGTTACATATTTCCTTATGGTAAAGGGTACTTTATTTACCTACTGAAAGAATCCAATCCTTTATTTGTGATATGCAACTATTAGAACTGTGCTGGCTCAGGCAACAGGCATTCTGAAGTTAGTTAAGAAGCAGAGGTTTCAAAACAACATTACCCAAAACAACTCTAGAAGTACCCCACAGATTCAGGTTTTAGGAAGGTAGGTTATGGAACGCCTCATCTTTGCACCGTAAAATACTGCAGTTTGAGAAATAACTTGAGTACTCAGTATTTCTATCGAGCACATAAATGTAACTTTAATCAAGCTCAGGTAGACAGTATGCAACTTCTGCAACGGGGGCAAACAAAATTATCAGATGTTAAGACTATTAGGGTCCATGAAGTTTTATAGCAGCTGCAGACCATACACAGTACCAAGGTAAATCAACATCAGGAGAATTTTTCAATCACAATTTCTACTGATACAAAAATATGATTCTGCCTGAATTCTATAACAATAAGCACTGAAATTACTAGGGAAGTCCCATGGAAAGTATATATTTGTCTAAATACTGCATAAGCACGTGCAGAATCAGGGCCTTCTTAAAAGGTTTCATGAAAGATTTTTATTTCACAAATTTATTCCACTTTTAAAATGGTGATATAATCAGTTCAGAAAACTTTCTCACCTCTTCCAGATCATCCAGTTCTTCTAACCTTGTCCTCACTTTTTCAGAAACTGCTGAGCCAGTAGTTGTAGCTTTTCCTGTGAAGAATTATATATTTGAGTTTCTTCAACATTTAAACACTTGGACTTCTAAAGGGAAACAAACCTGAAGGAGCTTGACAGACTCGGACAACTAGTCAGCTTCTATGACAGAAGACAAGTGGTTTGATTCATTTGGTGGCTATTCCAGAAGACACACATTTAAACATACCTACAGTCCCTTCACTTTGAACAGGGAACGACCAGTATGCAAAACTGAATATAAATGGATTTTCTTGCAAGTTTTGCTGGTAAGGAAAGAACCACTGGATAGAACCATAGGATAATTTAGGTTAGAAAAGCCCTACGGATGTCTGTGTCCAACTCTCCTCCTCAAAGCAGGTCCAATTTTGAAGTTTTAACAGGTTGCACAGGGTTATTTCCAGTCAATTTAATGATATCTAAGGATAGAGATTTCACACCCTCTCTGGACATCTGTTCCGGTGTTTGACCATCCTCATTCCAAAAAAGGTTTTTTTTTTTTTTTTGCACAAGCTGAAATGCTGCACGTTTACTCATATAGAAAAACTCTGATTTACTATGCAATCAGCTATGACTACTTAGCCCAGATTTGTTTCGCTAGAAAATGTGATAAAATATTTAACATTTGGTTCTTTTTTGAACACTCAGCATACAGTTGAAATAATTTCATTTTCATGTAAAGAGAATAACTGAACAAGTTCCCAAAGGACTTGTTTATCAACTCTTCTGCTTGCTGGAAGGGAAAGCAAACATGATCCTCAAAACATCATTGCTCACTTTAAATGGAAGAAAGTTTTAAGCTACAGTGGAAGGCAGCGAACTCCATTTCCTTCCCCAACACATAATCACAAATTTATTAGCCTACAAAGCATACAAGACAAGGTGGTTGGGTGGTTTGTTTTCAATAATTATTTTAAGCAAAAATCCAGCAGAAGTCTTATTCACAAAAAAACCCGTAAATCCAACCATATGTCAGAATGGGGGTAGAACAGGAAATCACATTTCAAGTATTGACCACAAACCTGTCACTGCAACCTACCTCAAGCAAAATCTGTTACTGTTAGATATAAAGGAACTGCTTACCTTTTTCAGATCCCATGTACAGATTCTGTGAAGAAACAGAAAAAGCAGACTCTTAGAAAACATGTACTCATTAGCATTCCAAGAATGCACAGGGTAATTACACTGCTAATTAAGCCTCTAATCATTTAGAAGTAGACATAAGACCAGAAGTTATTTGTATTGTTACAACAAGAAAGCGATGGCTTCTAAGTATCAACAGACTTGTGGAGTTGGCTCCAAAACAAACATTGGAAGTGAGAGCTTGTGGTACAGCTTTCTACAACATTAAAACTGAAATTTAGAAGACCAGTATTTACTCATTAAATAATTACAAAACAGCAACATCCAAAATCCATTAAAGGTCTAGTACAAATAAATGAAACTGGAGAAGCTGCCACTTACAATAGAGAGCTTCTCTGTTGTTGTGTATCTAGCAAGGATTTCACCACGTTTGCTTGACCATGGTTCAAAGTCATTTCCTACTGCTGAGCTATCATCTTTATCCCGTTTCTTTCGTGTACTATCCTATGAGGAGAGTACAAGTGCAAATGTTAAATACAAATCTGGAAAAAAAGAAGGCGGCTGATAAAGGTCAACTTAACGTTTCAAGTGCTTACTGATCCAAAAAGTTACAATATTAAAAAAAAATAATCCATATTTAAATAAATGTCAACATAAAACAGGTAAATGAAAAAGAATACTTTATTCTATTAATACAGTATATTTTCTATTTGCCTTAACCTCCAAATTGCTGAGACAAATATATTTCATCCAGGGTTGGCTTTTTAGTTTCGTTTTTCATTTTTGTTTTTATTTTATTGAGTTGAGATAACTGCCCTCCAGTGTTACCATGGTAGCAGTAGTTGTCACAGGATCTGCAGCTGCTGCAAATAATGACAAGGGATCGGTACCGTCCAATACACTGCTCAATGGATCCATCATAGAACTAGAAGAAGAAGAGGAAGTAGAAGAAGTACTTCCTTTCCGGTTCATTTTCTTGGTCTTGGATTCAGTAACCTGAAAGAAAAAATCAAAACTATTAAACAAAAAGACTTTCTCTTCCCCCCATTTTCTTTAATAAATCATCAAAATACATACTACATAAATGGGGCTGTTGCAATGAAAGCAAGGACCCACCTACAAGAAACTCTTTAGAATCAGCATTAGCATTTAAACTGAAGCACCTCTTTTTCCCCTGAATCTGGAGGCTCTCTGCACTAGCATTTCCATTACTTTTTTCTTTTTCCTTCCAATTCTGGGTCTACAGAACTATAATAACAACCATTCTAAATTTCTTTCTAGTACCCCTCCTATATTTTTTTGTTTTTTCTCCCTCTCCTCCAACCTCTTTCTTGCTATTTGATTTCCTCTGCCAGTCGCATCTTTACTTTTCTTGTACAATACTCAAGCCTGAAACATCAAATCCATTCTTAAGGCCTCTGTATTATCTCTCTACTGACCTTCCTGAGTAGAAGCTGCTGTTCATTTATCATTCATTAGTGTGTGACTATCATCTCTCTGAAGCGGGATTTTTTTGCACATTTTTAGAAGCCTCTCATACATTAAAGAGATGATAAATATTTTAAAGCATACAGCTGACTGGAAGTTAACCCAAAACCAAATCTTACATCAAGCAATTATGCAGGTTATTTGTAATGCAACAATTTGATTTTAAACACATCCATTATTCAGCATTTAATGCAACCAAGAAAACCCACAAGTTGAAATGCTGTATTAGTCAGAAGGAGACTGTTTTTGACACATAACAGCACCAGCAAATTTCCGTAAAGGACAAACAGCAGAACAAACCTTGATGCCTCTAAAATAACAGGCCACAAACACAGAAAGCAACTTCACTAGTACCACCACCAACTTCAAAGCTTTTTCATTTTAAAGGAGTAGAAATAAAAAGAGGAACACAGTCAGTTTTAATTCACATTCATTTTCCAAAAGCACAAAAAGAAACTCACTGTAATGGGTTTTAGTGGATGGTAATCACCAAAATCCAAGGGTACAGATTCCAGTTTGCATACTTCAGATTCTGAAACATAGTTTCTTGATCTTGCGTGCCTTAAAAAGCAAGAGTAAAGGGAAAGTATACATGCACATAAATAACCACATACTTACGAACCAAGAAACATATCCTATGTCTATATAGATGCAGGCATATTTAAAAGAAGAAATACATGTTGAAAAATAAGTCAATGTAAAGACCAACATTTCTCTCTCTATTGAGATACATAAACTAGAAGTGAAGACATTTTACTTTCAGCCATTCAACTATATTCTGCCTCTACAGCTGGATTCTCTTCCATTCCATTGGGGCAATTTAACCAAGTATTTGTATGTGTGACAGGCTGACAGAGATTATTAAACACATGTTTTAAACTGAATAGTCAGAGTGAAAGAAAAAGGTAAGTGTGAAAACACAAGGGAAGAAATCAAAGTGATTGTGCACAGATATAAAGAGGGACTACACAGATTAACTTGTGTAGCTGCAAAGCTCTTCCCTGAGACATCTATTTCTATCTGTTCACTGTACTCATAACAAAAGTTGCAAAAGTCAAATTATAAGAAAAAAACTATCAGTATTCATATGTTTGCATTGTGGATAAGTCCTTGTATAAAAGCCTTGCCTCTCCTATGAAAATTAAGTATGCCATTAAGTGAAATAAATCACAAAAATATACGTTTCAGGTTTTTTTTTTTAGTCTGATATTAAGAGAGAACTGTGACAACTATGGCCTCCATCTCTAATTAAAAAAGACTTGATTCCAGAAAAGAACATAAATAAAAGTATTTGAGTAAAACGTTGCCACCAGGAACTAACAGTAACATACACTAATTTATCATCACAGTTTAAGGAAGCTGCTCTTTTATAAAATAGACCATTCATCCTGGTTTTAATTGCCTAAATATAAATATATATTTTAAAAAGGCTTTTAAAGCATGTTTGACAATGTAGGAAGGCAAAAAAGAGGGATTAAAACTTCCCTGACTAGCCCCAGATGACAATTTCAAAAGAGACTTAAGAGTTACAAGTGCTTTCTATCTCTGACAACACATCAATATTTCCCTTTAATTGTATAATTACAATAATTATATATAAAATAATTCCCCTTAATTGTATGGAGTAGTAGTAATGGTTAAACAGGGAAATGAAAATACGAACTCACAAAAATACATAGGACAGCTGCTTCCTGAAACAACTGCCATCGTAGCTACCCCATGGTACCTTCCTTTAGCAGTAGCAATAGTTAAGTACTAAAGCAGAAAGAGATCCAAGTAAAAGCTAGAAAAATATATTTGAAAAGGTTTCTCTGCATTCTACCCTCCACAATTTCTTGATTTCTTTATTTAGGTTTTGAAACATGCAGGGCAGCTAATTTTTCTTTCCTGTTTCATCCAGGATCCTGAGAATGTTTATAGCACACGCTAAGGCCTTAGCTGAATGAGTAAAACCAGTGGATACACAAAGGTTTCTTTAATCAGACTCCTAATGAAAACAAACAGCATTCCCCCCACATAATACACATCTTTCCCACAAAAACTAATGCAAACTTTCAAAGATTTCCATTCCTACTCAGAGATCTAGCTCATTAGGAAGAATTTAATCAGTGCCAAGCAGCCAACTCTTCTATAGATACTGTGTACCCCAAAAAAACCCAGATTCATTTAAAAAAAAAAATTAAGAATGAGTTTAATTTATGGTTGTGCTACTCCAAGGAGAAGCTTTAACATCTAATGAGATACAGCAGAGCAAGAGAGTCCAGCAAAATCTATGTGCTTATTCCTTTTGTTTTCCTGATCTCCAGTTCCTTTTCTTTATACATTAATAGTCTCTTTAATTTACTATTGTCCCATGATTCAATGATTGTCCTTGCTCGCTTGCTTCATGGGTTAATTAGCATTTGGGTGAAAAATCTTTCAAACTCTTTCTGGCTGCCTAACTATAACATTTCTATTACTCTGTTGCAGTTCTGTCAGTATTTCCATACCTCTCCTTTACAGGTATTTTCAAACTAGCAGTAAAGAAAGATGTCACTGACAGCTCACACTTGGCATACCACTCCCAGGCCAAAATCAGTTGTACTCTAATAATAATGTAAGGCATCACTGGGCAAGTATACATGTCTAATACACACATGGGAATGAAGAAGAGCTGTTCACCCTGCAAATAAGTCTTTAGAAAGTGCATTTACAATGTGACTATTCAAGTGATAAGACAGCTTGTAACACAGCTAATACAGGGGACAAATTCAAGCTTGCTCTGACATTTTGTTTCATATATTCTCCAGGGAAAGGAGATTAAGCATTCCTTCCTCAGCCACAGCAGTGCAGCCAACTTCCAAGAGTAAATAAAAGTAAGACCCAGGCCAAGCCAGCGTTTCATCCCCACTGCTTACTGCAAGATACACCCCTGCTTGCAGGTGCTGTTTTAACTGAGTTTCAACCTTTTTTCACACGAGCATCACTGCAATTGCCACCACTCTATGCCTTTGACACTTGCCAGACTGCCATTTTTCTCTCCTCCTGGTAAACAATCTTTTTTCCCGGGACTGCTGTACTTCCTCCTTACCCTTAAGTTACTGAAGTTCTTCCAGCACCCAGCCCATCGTACCAACCCAGGTGCCCCCCTTGCGCTCCAGGTTCAGCACACAGCCAGGCCCTGCGCAGCAGAAGAACCAGCCTGGACTCCACACCTCCCCTTCTCGGGATATGACACCTTTCAGGCACACAGCACCCACACGGAGCCAGTGCTTATCCTAAAGTAAGGGCTTCAAAAAGCTTACAGGGAGCACAAACAAGCAAGGCATGTAAAATGGAAAAGAACGTCTTTACATCACTAGACATATATTGGTATTGACAATAAAATGAAGTGCATCCCACAAGTCAAGGTACTTGTCATTATTTGAATGTTAAACATAAAACCCAAACAATTTCTCTAGATAGTTACACATAGTTATTGCAAAAATGAATTCTAGCCCTAAGTTTTAAATTACTTTATATATTTGCCAATTTTTTTCACTACTCTAACAAATTTTTAAACCGATAATTCTCTTAATTTGAACACTATGTTAATGCAAGGTCCTTTTATTCAGTGCCAACAGGTGCTATCTTTTTTCCCCTCACATGAAGACTAATGAGTATGCAGACAATTAATCTGCAAAACGCCTTTTTAAAATTAGCATCCAACAACGCTTAAAAATAGCTAGCATTCTACTGAACCCTGTAGCATGACAATATCTTCCACACTGCAGAAAAGCATGCATTAAAACATTTTACTCTGGTTCATCATTTCTCCATGGCCCCTTCTGCATCAGTGTTACCAGACTTACTTATTAGCCTACCTCATTGCTGCATTACGTAAAAATCAATTTGTCAGCATCCCTACTGCTCTTTGTGGCTGCGGTCCTTAGTTTTTCATGATATTTTGGTACTGCTAGAAATGCAAAAGTTGCAGCCACATTTATTCCTTTCAGTTTCTGCAAGATCACTGGCCACACAGATTCCACCAAAATTACTGCACTCAACGTAAGTACCATCAGTTCCAACAGCCAACTAACGTATTAGAGCTGTCTTACACCCTCAGATTTTCTCAGCTACATAAATTCAAGTTTTAAAGTATTTCATACCCCAGCGAATTTGTTTTAGAAAGTACAGCTCTGATGTTGTTATAAAACCTCAACTGGTTTCATTAACAATGACTTTCAAATCCACTAATTATTTCTACTTTTTATTAAACATGAAAGTTTGTTTACACATTAATAACAAGACAGAGTGAGATGTGATTTTCAGCATGACCATGTATAGATGGGGAAAACTTTTTGGCATCCTAATGCTCTAATTGGCTCTAATTGTTGCATATTACTTTTCTTGATTCCACATTAGGTTTGATTTCTAGTTTGCTCAGGACTATAACACATCAGCCACATCAAAACCTGTAAGTCAGATATATTCGATGTGTCAAAAGAACAATTAGCCTCAGGAGAACAAGTCTTCCAGAAACAGAAAATCAGCTCATTTGTAAACAAGAGCAAGTTTGGAGAAAATGAACTATGAACATGTTTTCCTTTACTCTGTCACAGAGAGAGCGCCTATTTTATCCTTCCTTTCCATAACAAACACCAGACTGGGCAAGTTATTCCGTGTCCTACGCAGGGCAGCCGCCTCAGCTGTTTTTCCTGTAGAGATACTGCACGTCGCTAGAAGCCGACCCCGCCTCTTCGGTTTGTAGCCCGTAAACACCGTGTCTACTTCTAAAGAGCCTGTGAAGGATAACTCGCGGAAGCTAAACCCTGCCGGTAAACTTAAATCCACTGTACAGACATCTTCATCTTCACTGGCGACTCTGGAAATCCACCGACCACGGCGCGAGCAGCCGCTTGCCGCGAGCCCACAGCGCCACCGCCTGGGCGCGGCGGGAGGAACAGCCCTTCCCCACACCGGCTCCTTCCCCCGAGCAGCGGAGACGCGTCGCAGAAAACACAACGGGACCAAACCGAGCCGAGCGCCAGCTGCCCTTGAGCAACTTTCCTGCTTCGTGAGGGGAGAACAAACCCGCGGCGGTGCGCAGAGACCAGCGGCCGTCCCCTCCCGCCCGGGCTCTCGCAGCAGCGCCTCC